TTATCTTCCATCTTCCATGACTTATCATTGAGTTAAAAGTGCTCAGATATCACAGTGACCTGACATGTGCAGTATGAAAACCTATACAGAATTGAAAAGATTGGAAATGTCAATGATAGGAAATTTCCTGTATTAAGAGAAATAAAATAAGGAACAATAGTCACACATCTACTAATAGGAAAGCATAATTATAGTGGATGACATTTAAGCTTGGTCAGTTGCTGCCAAAAGAGCTGTCAACTATTCTAGCCTAAGTGTTTAAATTAAATTCATTTTTCACTTCATTCAAGTTCTCATTTCTAGTCCAGCTATAATCAACATTCTTTGTACTAGTGCGGCAATACGTTATTGCCATTCTTGGCCTTTAAGTCAGTCATCTTCCACTCAGGAAAGTCAATTTAAAAGCACTGCTACGGTGCCATGGGTTTCATATTAAGCAGATTCCTTTTCATTGTATTGTAGCTGCTCATCTCAAACTGAAAAGGAGTACTTGTGGCACCTTAGAGACTTAATCGGAGCTGTAGCTCACGAAAGCTTATGCTCAGATAAATTTGTTATTCTCTAAGGTGCCACAAGTACTCCTTTTCTTTTTGCAAATACTGACTAACACGGCTACTACTCTGAAATCATCTCAAACTGACATTAAACACCAATGATCACTTTGTCAACCTCAGAAGCTACGTAGTATCGATACCTGATTTTCAAGTAGTAGGTTCAGCAACACTTTCTGAATGAAAAGTGGAGAAGATAAAAGCAGTAAGAAAAGAATCCTGTTTCTAAATGAACTGGGAATTATCTGGGGTCAAATCCTGTTAAAGAACATAAGAACAGCCATACTGAGTCAGACTAAAGGTCCATTAAGCCCAGTATCCTGTCCTCTGACAGTGGCCAATGGTAGGTGCCCCAAAGGGAATGAACAGACAGGTTATCATCAAGTGATCCATGCCCTGTTACCCAATCCCAGCTTCTGGCAAACAGAGGCTAGGGACACCATTCCTGCCATCCTGGCTAATAGTCATTAATGGACCTATCTTCCGTGAATCTATCTAGCTCCCTTTTGAACTCCGTTATAGTATTGGCCTTCACTGGTATACTCTGGTAAGGAGTGCCAGAGGCTGACAGTGTGTTGCGTGAAAAAATACTTCCTTGTGTTTGTTTTAAACCTGCTACCTATTCACTACATTTGGTGGTCCCTTGTTCTTGTATTATGAGAAAGAGTAAATAACACTTCCTTCTTTACTTTCTCTATACCACTCATGATTTTATAGACCTCTATCATATCCCCGCTTAGTCGCCTCTTTTCCAAACTGAAAAGTCCCAGTCTTATTAATCTTGCCTCATACAGAAGCCATTCTATACCCCTAATCATTTTTGTTGCCTTTACTGAACCTTTTCCAATTCCAATATATCTTTTCTGAGATGGAGCGACCACATCTGCATGCAGTATTCAAGGTGTGGCCGTACCATGGATTATATAGAGGCAATATGATATTTTCTGTCTTATTATCTATCCCTTTCTTGATGTTCACTTTACTCATGCAAGTATCCACTGAACCAATATTTTTTACTCATAAGAATTTTAACAGAATTTGTCCCCTGATGTAAGCATAGATTTCAGTGACCGTGTATGTGCTTACACCAATCTGATTAGAATTCCCTCGTGTTCTTCACTGCCACCAATCTTCTTAACCCTTTCTGTACATCTCAGCTACCTGAACGAGTCATAAATTTGGTTCTCAGTGTTTTGTTTTCTTCCTGCATTCAAATCACGAGCCAAATTCAGATCTAATGTGCAATCACCCTGACTTCTGGAGTTGTTACCACTTACATTAGTTCTGAACTTGGCCAGTCATTCTTTCTATGACTGAGGTGCACTCATGTGAAGTTGTCGGGCTTTTCCACAGATTGGTTGAAGTCATGATTAACCAAAGTTTACTCAAGTTCCCTGAAACCTTCTAATTGTCCAGTTGCTGATTTCAAGTTTGAGACTACAAAGCCTGCTGTACTGGTTCCAATGATTATCCAACCCTCCAATTACCTCAAGTTCTGAGGCATTCCCAAGACCTTTTGGCAGTCAGGACTGACTTTATCTGGCATTTGGTATGGGTTAATGTGTTAGACTAATAAATCAAGTGTAGTCTACATAAAGTTTTAAATACATAACTCCATTATTTCTATAACAAGTTGCTTCAACAAACTAGAAATACTTGCCCTCCCCCAGGACTAAGTGCATTCTAAGCTGAACGTTTTTAACTACACCTGTTTTTGAGGTATCCAAGCCCAAACAAACAAAGATTTTGAAAACATTAGAAGTACTGTTTCCCCTATATCAGTGGTTCTCCACCAGGGGTACAAGTAGCTCTGGGGGGTACATCAACTCATCTAGATATTTGTCTGGTTTTACAACAGGCTACATAAAAAGTACTATTTCAGTACAAACTAAAATTTCATACAGACAATGACATGTTTATATTGCTCTATATACTATACACTGAAATGTAAGTATAATATTTATATTCCAATTGTGTTATTTTATGATTATATGGTAAAAATGAGAAAGCCAGCCATTTTTCAGTAATAGTGTACTGTGACACTTCTGTATTTTTATGTCTGATTTTGTAAGTGAGTAGTTTTTAAGTGAGGTGAAACTTGGGGGTATGCAAGACATAGACTCCTGAAGAAATGGGGCAGAGGCTCTCAACCTATGATAGCTAAAAACTGCCCAAACGGTATTCTACCAAACATCCCTATAAAGGAAAAACCAAATGAACTCTTTTTGCTGATAGTACACACGATAAATCTCAGCCCAAATTATATTTTTATTGGCATTATAAATATCCGAGAATAAAGGTTTATACTGAAAAGTATCTCCTCAGTCATAACTAATATTTACTACTGACACACTAAAATGAGGGTTTTTGAGGTCAGTTATTCACAGTAACAATACAGTACTTAATATATTACATCTACAAAGTGATTTTCAAACACTGTCCAATTGTTTAACATCTGAAAAATAGACTGAAGAAGTTTCTCTAGAACTTTTTCAATGCTAAATAAGAACTTCTTTCATTATTTATAAACTTGGTAAAACAAAAAGGTCTACTAAAAAACATAATACTGCATTTTAAACTACGTCGTAACCATATTATTTATCCGGCACGTCATCACTTTAAAGTCTCATCTAAATAATAAAAACACTTACAAAACGTATCTGAAAAACAATTTGTGTACAATCCCTGCAGGCCCTGATGCTGTATGCTTCCCCATGTGGGCTGACCCCAAGACTCTGCAAATGCAAGTGATTAACCCATGTGGTGCAGCTAGCAGGATAGGGTCTTAAGCCTCCAATCGTGATCCCTTTTATTTCAAGGGGAGTTTTGCTATTCACATTCATGGGAACATGAATTTACTTTCTAAATTGAATAATTTGCAAGTTATTCCCACAAATACTCACCCTCCTCCCCCCAATACTAAAGCAAACACACAATTACTGTATTCTAATCTTTTGGCAATGTACATCTTTAAACCAAATATACCTGAGCTCAACAATATTGATATTTTTCATCAGGGTGTGTAAGAACATTCTTTAAACATAGCCATCCAGACCCATTTTTGAAGTGTGGCTTCAGTCTGAATGGTGATTTTTCAAAAGTAGCAACATGAGATTCCAGGCTTATTGTTTCTCAATTATTCCATATAAAATCTGTTCCATGTACATGGGGGTTGCAGTTTGGTTGGTTGTTGTAATTGCCTACAAATTCAGCCAGGAACTTGAAAGCCAAGCTGTGTTTTTTCTGGCTCATCCATCAAGACCGCATAGGCTAAACTCTGCCTTCAGTTACATCTGTGCAAACCCATAGTCATTAGATTCTTTAAATTGCTGCACCTGAACAACCCCATAGTTTTCAGTAGGGCTGCCCAGGTTTAACCAGTAGGGTTGTTTTCAATGTAACCAAGGGCCAAATTTGGTCCTGCAACTGTAAGTAAGGCACCAATCCTGCAAATATCTCCCCATGTGTTTAAGCACATATGTAGTTTCATTGAAGTCCATGGGATTGGAGATTTTAATCATTCCTCTAACATGCATCAGCTAGGAAAGTATTCAGATCCCCTTTTTTAGCTGGTGGGCTAAAGCTTATTTTTGTCCCTAAATTAAGTAGATATCAGTCTAAATACAAACAAGAGCAGCTGTGTCGTTTAAGATGATGCCATTTTACAGGCACTTTTCAGGGCAGAAACACAGGGGTTTTTGTTTTGTTTCGTTTCAGAAACAAAAGTTGTCTAAAACATAATGTGTCACAATTGAGCCCAAAGCAACTTTTTATACAAGTTATAAACCTCTAAGGCAAGTAAAAGGGGGTAGGGAGATTAAAACAGAAATATTGACTCAACTATCAATAGTCATTAGTGCAAAGAGAAGCCACCGAACAATGCATGTCCTGTTCGATTTATTTCAGAGCACATTTATTTTTTTAGTCCTGGTGAAGTGCAATCCCGATGTTTGAACTAAAGTGACGGATACATACAACAGTGCAGATCCCAGTTTAAGTACTGCGGTATAAAAGCAATCCCTTCCACCTCGCCTCCAGGATGGCTTATTTTTCGATCACACACGTATGCCACCCTAAAACGAGATCCTGGCTGTTGCAACCTTACAAGGCAGCCAACACCATCGCCGGGCACAGAAACCCAAAGCGTCAGAGTCACTGTTTAAGCGTCTCCTTGGCAACCAAGCTTCCCCACAGACCCCTCCCCGGCTGGGTGGGGTGCAGGACTCCACTCGACAGGTTGGGGGGAACTAAGTGGAGGGTGATTGATTCGCGCGGGGACGATGCAACCCTCGCAGGCGGGACGCCCTTCCATTGCAGGTTGCGGTCCTCCAGCCCAGGGGGGCCGCCCCCCCCCGCCCCGCGCCACCCCCACAGCACGGCCCCGGGGGCAGCGCCCCCTGATTAGGTAGCAGCAGCAGGCGCCTCCTGGCGCGCAACAGGCTCGCTCACCTCCCCGGGCGACACAAAGCGGCTGCGGCTCTGCACCAGCCCCGGCCGGGTGCCGTCTCTCACGCGCCGGGCGGGAGTCTCCCCGCCGTCTCCGGGGCTTGGGGAGCCAGGCGAAGCCAAGGAACCGCAGCGGCCCGGCTGCCCGCACCGCGCTAGCACAGCGGGACTGAGGGGCCGGCAGCGGCTGGGCAGGAGGAGCTTCTCCTCTGCCTCCTCCCCGCAGGCGGCGGCGGCGGCAGCCGGGGCCCCTTCCCTCCAGTGCGCAGCGGCGGCGGCACAGGCCGGGCAGCGCTGTGCGCACCTGCAGGAGGAGGAGCTGGGCAAGGGCAGCGGGAGGGCTGGCGGGCACCAGGCGAGCTCCTGAGCAGCATCGGCCCCTGCCCTCTCCCGCGGGCACCCATCCCCCTTCAGCTGCCTTGGCCTGGCCCTTTGAGGGCAGCCAGCAGGTTGGCTCCAGCTGTCTATCGGAGAGGAAGGATAGGCCAGTGGCTCACAGGCTTCCTGGGCCAGTCCCGTCGGGTGTGTGTCTGCCCCCCACGTTAGGGTGTAATTGCACTGTGGGTAGGCATCCCCCTGCTGGCTTTAAACTAACTAGCCCACGTGGCGATAGCAGAGAAGATGTGGCAACGCAGGCTTCGCAGCAGGCTCGCAATGCGCACCAGCAGCCCTCGGTGGGCTTGTATAAGGGCGGCTAGCCTGCATTGACACCCCATGCCACCATGTCTCCTCTACTGTTGTTACCTGGGCTAGCTAGATCATATCGAGTGTGGGTATGCTTCTCCTCCTTACAATGACACCTTAATTTGCAGCACCTCTCTGGGCCCAAGTTCCCCATCTGTGAAAGGGGGATAATACCTCCCTACCTCACAGGGGTGTTTTGATGGTAAATGCATTAAAGATTGTGAGTTGCTCAAATGTTATGGTATTAGAGCTGTAGAAGTACCTAAAATTGATTGTTACCAAACCTGTTATATGGCATGATGCATTTGCCTAGCACTTTAGTATCATAGCTAACACACAATCCCTGTCCCAAGTGCTTACAATCTAAACAACACAGACAGGGACTAACACACAACACACAATTTGAGGATAGGAAGGTTGAGGGGATTATTAATGACGGAGGGGGGTATGCTTGAAAAGATGGATCAGCCATGTGAGCTGTGACCTAAAGTGATCCTAAAGGAGAGAGCAAATGTATCATGTATCTAACAGCCATGTTCAGACTGTCCACTGGGGTGCTCTGCTCTGCTCTGGTCTGACTGATATAATATAAAAAAAGAAAATACTTATTGATTGTCAAGATGTGCTCACAAAAAGCCAGTCATAGTTAAGAATTTATTTGAAGAGTGAAATTGTCCTGTGGTTATTGGAAACTGGAAGCCAGACAGCTGGCAACGCAGTGTGTTCACAGAGAGAAGGAATAGATTTATTTATTTCCCACTTCCTCTCAAGAAGAGTAATGAATTTCTAGTTATGTCATTTACAAAGTGTATTGATTATTGTTATTCTGCTAAAGAGATGGACAAATTATCCTTACCAATATACCTGTCAGATCTTTGTGTGTGTTATATATAAATAAATAAACACACACATACAATAAGGCATATATGCCACAAATAGAGATGTGGTTTTTTTAGATGTTTTAAAAAATTTTACTAAACTTGGAGACTGGATTTTATATAATTTCTTTCTAGCTGCAACAGAAGGCAGCATTACCCTCCTTCAGCCTTAGGCTAGTGCTTGTGTGAACTCGAAACTGAGGCTGTTTTCATACATGGGTACAAGCATTTAATTTTACTTGTTTTGACAAAATAAAGGAGCAGTAAATTATGAATCTCAGCTGTGCACTTGCATAGCTATGAGACCCATGGGACACTGAGAGGTGCCACCTAACATTAGTACAAAAGTGTGGTGCCCCGGGGGGGGGGGGGGGGAGAAGGGGTTCTAGCCAGTTGTTGTAGGGAGTTTTCAAAGAAGCATTTTTTCCTGGTAGCCTTTTGATACAGTGGCTAGATTTTGCTGCTAGTAGAGTTTTAATGTCTGGACTTTAGCTATTATGCAAGAAAGAAAAGATTTTATATACACAAGACTAGGGATCATCAGACCTGGGTTCTGCCTCAGACTTACTTTGGCCAGTCATGTCAGCCAGAATTTTCAAGTTTGTGTGTCTGGTTCAAAATCCATGGAAGTTAATAGGAATCTCTCTCTTGCTTTGGATCTGATCTTAAATAAGTAAGGTTTGTGGGCCAGATTTTCAGCTGGTGTAAATTGACCCTAGTTTCCTCCAGAGATGGAGGATCTGACCCTGTGTTTGCATGTTGATTGGTCTGAGACCATTTTACTGACTTCACTTTCTCGAAGAAGTCTTCGAAAAAACACCATTTCCTGTCACCTCTCTCAGCTACATCCTCTTAATTAGGAAAATCTGCACTAAATGTGAAGTCCTGTCTAGTTAATCTGTAGCATGCCTTTTTATTTAAAGACAGTGCTGTAATACAAGGGGAAGAGGTGTATGTATTCCCTTCTTTTGAGTTTGGAGGGCTACAACAAACCACTTAAAAGCCATTCTGCAGTAGGGGCTGCTAAGCATTGCAGAAACCTATGGGATCTGTAGATGGCTCTGGTACCAGTAGAGCTAAAGGAATGATCTAAGGGAATGAGCACATTTCAGGGACCAAACTCCATGTCTGTTTCATGGGTTGGGGGTGGGGAGTACATCCAAAATGGTCAGCGAGAATTTCTGTCAGTGTGAACTTAGCATTTACATTTTTTCATCGGGAAGATACCTTGCAGAGAGCTGTTTAACATTGTTCTATATACTTTTCCAACACTGTAGCTAATTGTATAATTCTAATTATTATTCCCTCAGTAACTACATTGTAGCACAGATTCAAAAGACAGATGAGTCCTGGGGGATATATGTTCATGCAATATTTTCATAATCAAGTACCCAATGCATAATTTACTAAATGCTAAAGTGCATTGCATGCTGCTCCTTTGGTTTTTTTTCAGAATCTCCAGAACAACCACCACCGCTGATTTGAATTCCTGCCATTTTTTTTTTTACTGGATATACTAGATAGAAAGCAGCCAACAATGACTTTTTGTACAGTTATAGTTTATAAAAGGAGACAACCATAAAGAAGAATTCAGCAATTCATTATACATTAGTCTGTGGAAAACATGTTATTTCCATTGTAAGAAAATTGTGCATTATCACTGCCCCTTACAAATACAGGGCCTGATCTGGCAATGAGCTCCAGGCAGGGTACCCTTACAACTGCACAGAGCCCAGTTGACTTCAGTGAGGCTCTGCATGGATGGACTCATGCATCTGTGCAGAGTTCAGTTCAGCTCCATGCAGACACAGAGGTCTCCCCTTTGAGATAGCATGTTCTCACACTCACTCTCAAAATTATATCTATCTCAGATGAAAGCTACCTACATGGGTAAGTATATTCCTTATTTTATCTGTGATCTTATTTATTAAAATTTCCTATTTTCATTCATTGTCCAACCCTGCAGTGGGAGAATCAGACTCCTTGATCCTGTTTATAAAGTATGTGGGTGACTCTGAGAATCTACTCAAACTAAAGGACCAGCTGTCATTTCATTACTTTTACTAGTCATGAAGGATGTTAAAGGAAATAAAGGAGTTTTGAGATACTACTCATGAAATCTTGTTCTGCACTCTACTATTGTACATAAAAAACTGAGTTAACTTAGGCCCTGATCTTGTAACTTCTTGTGCACAGAGTGGAAAGCTGTGTCTGTGTGAAACCCCATTGAAACCCATCCATGTGAAGAAGTTGCAGTAATGGGGCTTTAGAGCTTGGTCTCATTCTTATTATATAGGCAATAAAATGTTGAGTCTATAAGAACTGGATAGCATCCCTTTAAATAGTTTGGGAGCCTTCTAGTGAGCCTCTGTCTCTTATTGCAGTCTCCATAGAACCCTGCCAGAGCAGCAGTATGCATATAGAGGTAGGCCTTGTATATTAGTAAACATGGTGTGACAAAGCTCTGTCCTTACCTCCATGGGTCCCACATTTCCTGACAGATTTCGCTAGCCTCAGAGGCTCACTGTGACCCTCCACATAACCCTTCTCTCTCTAGGGAGAAGGGAGACAGTCTACTGAGCCATTTTCATCATAAGCCAGCAAAGGAGGTGAGGAGAAGTTATCCTTCCTTGCACAGTCTCAGTGATTAGTCAGAGGGGCAAAGGTGGGGGGGAGCCCAGGCCCACCCTCTACTACAGGCTCCAGCCCAGGGACCCTGATAGTATCAGCTATGGTAGCTGACCTTTTAGAAACATGACATGTACAATTCCCTGTGCTACTTCCCCCACAGAAGCCCTCTCTTCCTCAAGCTCCACTTCACCCTTACCTCAGGGCCTCCTTCCTTGTGCCTGATATGGTGTGTACTACTCAGTCTCTCCAACAGCACAACTTCCTCCCACAACTCCTGACATGCACACCCACCTGACTAACTGGGAGGCTTTTAACTAGTTTCAGCCAGTCCCTGATTGGCTTCAGGTGTCCCAATCAACCTAGCATTCTCCCTGCCTTCTGGAAAGTTCTTAATTGGCCCCAGGTGTCTTAATTGACCTGGAGCAGCTGCCATTTCACTTATCCTGGTACCAGGGATTTGTTTAGCCTGGAGCTAATCTATCTATCTATCTCCCACTACTTTTCTATAGCCAGCTGGCCTTGCCCCGTCACAACAGTTACATGGAAATCACTTGTGTCTATGTAGTGTCCATGTAGTCTTAATGTAGGGAACAAAGACACAACAAAACTCCCTCTGTCTTCAATGAAAGTAGGCTCAGTCTAATGTTGTAGCATTATGGGAATAAATGCTATGTAGTATTAGGGAATAAATCATTTGCACATCAGTAATAATAAATAATTAGTAATAATGCAGCAGTATCTTTCAGATTTGTATTCCACTCTAGAGACTAATGAAACTCTAGATATCCTGTGGATATATTAGGAAGGACTACTAACAAAATGTTTTGAACTAGGTGTACATGAAATCTCGTTGGGGTGAATGAAATATTTATGTGCCTTGTTACTGTTAATCTATTTAAATATCAATTAGTCTCATCTTATCTCAAAGACAAATCTAATACTACCTTTTTGTGGTAGAAAGGCAACCCATCACATGATCAACCCCTCCCCTCCATATTAAACCAGCCTTGGGTGAAACTCAGGGTGGTCACCACTAAAAATGAAAAAAGGAATGTTCTGCTGCTGATAAAGCACCCCCACCTCA